AAAAGTGGCCTGCGAGTGGAGAGCGCAACATTAAAGTAGAGCCGCCAACACCGTTGCATATATTTAACACTGCCTTGTCTTCGAAACGAAGTCACTTTTCGGCATATGCTTGTTGTTGTAACGATAATAATAATAACAGTACTTCAACGCTTTATGAAGGAGTTAGTGTATGGTATGAACGCCAGCTCCTAGACGCTGGTAGTGGAACGTTATCATACATACTTTAATGTGCCCTAGGCAAAAAAGGAACTAAAATTTTCGTCATGTGAGAGGGTGTGCGTGGGTGTGTGAGTGAGTGTGCTTCCGTGGATCCTACATATATGCCGCTACGTTTGTTAAGTGCAATAAAGTTAATGATATGTGTGGAAGGAATGCTCCTTTTACTTGTCGGCACGAAATCGACAACGTCGAGTGTTGTTTGCTGCCTTTTGGCTCCTAGTAGGTTAGTAGTGTTGAACTCAACGTAACGTGTAGCACGAACTATAAAACATAGATTCAATATTACGACAACAACACACCCTCAACCCTTACGGGCACATACCGACACACACGCACACACACAGAGATCGTATGTTCTCCATATAATATGTACATTTAAATGAACCTTACACACTTATCGTTGTAATTAACATAAAAAATTACTTTTACTTCGTCGACGTTTTCCTTTTTTTCTGTACATCGAGTACTTTCATGTACATTTTGGAGAGAAATTTACATTATGGAATGTGGTCGTAAAATCTGATAGTCATGTAATAATGAATATTAAATTTAATCTCGAAACAATATTTATTTAATACACTGTGGCCACCGAGTGGCGAGTAGGGTAAGTAAGTCATATGTGGATATGAGGGAGATTTTCAAACAATTATGGATAATATGAAATGGATTCGGGAGTGGATTTTTATTTTTTATTGCATGCTATATGAAAGGGTGAGTTATTAAAGAAATCGATACTAAACAAATTGCTCAATGAGAATTGTATAGAGAACGGTTGTGGTTCTCAAAGTTATGATGGGAAATTGGGTAGATTTTGAATAAATCTGCACAAAATTGTTCACGAAGCATATTTTGGTGAACTACATGTGCACGAAAAGTACTAAATAGTACTTAATTTGGTACAATTTGAAGTTGGGGGCATAGATAGTGCTTGAAATCTGAAATTTGGCATTAGGGTTGTTGTTCATCTGTAGCCTTGACATATAGATGCCTTTTCGGAAATAGTTTTGGACAGAAAAAAGTAGATGCTTTTATCAATATCCTTCTCGGTATACTTTAAATATCCAAAAGAAATGGAGCGATCTTTACCATCTTCATAACAGATCCTGTGTTGGTGGAAATATTAAGCCAAGTTGAAACGGAAGGAATCCGATTTCGCGTTTTATGAGTTTCAGGGATATTCACGATTTTGACCCCTTGTTGGGGGAGGTACCAGAAGTATTGGACCGATATATTCCATCTTCACAGCAGATATTGTATTAGCAGAAATAATAGAATGTGTGAAATATAAGGAGAATCGGATTCGTATTTCGGATCCGTATAATCGTTTTGGTTATTCAAAACTTTGACTCTTTGTGGGGGAGGTACTAGAAGGAATAGTCTGATCTCCACCGTCTATATTACAGACCTTGTGTTGCTGAAAATATTGAGATGTACCAAGTCTGAATGGAATCGGATGTTAATTTCGAGTTTTATTAGCTTCATGGATATTCACAATTTTGGCCATTTGTGGGGCAGATGCCACAAGGAGTGGACCGAGATATTCCATCTTCACACCAGAGCTTGGGCTAATAAAAATATTGTTATGAGTGTAATTTGAAAAAAAAAACCGAGTGCTACAGGGTGAGATGAAAAAACTGCAACCAACTTTAGACTGCTGTCATTTCTAAGCCACCGTGATATTGGCAGCGTAGCCCGATGCCAAGAAAGTGGACTAAAGAAAACAGCAACATTAGCAGAAATGGTTCGAAAAGTAAAGAAGCGATTTGATCGAAACCCGCGTAGCAGTGACCGAAAAATGGGTCGTGAACTGAACTCATCGCAATATTCCAATCGGCAAATATTGAAAAAGAGCTCGGGGTAAAGCCATTGAAATTCCAGAAAGTGCAATAACTTAACCGCAACAGAAGGAAAATCGACTCAAAAGAGCTAATGAGTTGCTTCGCTTGGCCGAAAGCGGTGAACTGCCGAATTTGGTTTTCTCCGATGAGAAAACATTCGTTGTCCAGCGATAAACAATCAAAATTTTCGTGTTTACTTGCCAAAGAGGTTAGCTGAGAATGTGCACCTTCGGTTGGCCACCAGTACTCAAGCGCCGGCCATGGTGACGGTGTTGGCCACCATAACCGCCGGTGGTCGCTCTCCATTCGTATTAATCGACCGTGGCATCAGAATAAATGCCGAATATTATCGCGAAAATATTCTGGAGGGTGTATTAAAGCCTTGTGCACGCAAACATTTTGGCCACAGACCTTGGATATTCCAACATGACTCAGCACCATCGCATTCAGCACGCGCCACCCAATAATGGCTACAAAATGAGGTTCCTCGCTTCATTTCCAGCGCACAATGGCCTCGAAAAATCTCCGAATACCAATCCGTTGGACTATGGTACCTGGAGTATTTTGGAGAGCAAGGTTGGCACTAAAAAATACCAAAGTGTCGATCACCTCTAGCAAGCGCTTCGCCGGCAATGGGCCAAAATACCAACATTCGGGCAGCATGTGACGGTTTCATTGGCCGTTTGAAGGCAATAATTCGTGTCAAAGGTGACCGTTTCGAACAAATCTAAACTTATTATAAAATTAGATGCTATTTCCGACACTTTTTGCTTTCAATCAAAAAAACAAAAAAAAAAAAAAAATAAAAAATTTAAAAATGATGGCGTCTGACTTTGTTGCAGTTTTTTTTATCTCACCCTGTAAATATTGATTTATAAAAAACGATGTAAATATGCCGCCTAATTTTAGTTATTGCCAAGGTTTTGGTCATATTTTCCAAAAACGCTGTAAATATGCCTCCTAATTTTAGTTATTGCCAGGTGTTGGTCATATTTTCCAATCGATATTTCTATTTTGGTTTCTTCGGGATTGACAAACCTTTCGACAGAAGATATTTCCTAAAATTACAAATTAACATTACCGGTAGAGCGTAGGATTGGGATAAGGAAATTTGTACTTATGTACACAAAAAGAATTAAATGGTACCAAATGTTGTACAATTTCGATTTAGGAGAGCCAATAGCGTTGGAATCCTGATATTTGAAAACAAGATTACTATTGCATTGTAGGACTGAGGTATGAAGGAAGTTTTGGAAATTCGTATATATGTGTACTAAATGGTACTAAATTTGGTACGATATACATTTTGTAAGACGCAATAGAGTTGGAATCCGGAAATTGGGAAATATGATTAATATTGCATTGTAGCATTGATGCATGTGAGTAGTTTTGGAAATTCGTACTTTTGTGTACTAAACTGTACTAAATTTAGCAAAATTTCGATTAAGTTAAATGATAGAGCTGGAATGCAGAAATTTGGAAATAAAATTACTCTTGCATTCTAGGACTGAGGTATGTAGATAGTTTTAGAAATTCGTACTTACGTGTACTAAATTGTACTAAATTTGGAAAAATTGTATTTTGGTTTCTTCGGGGTTGAAAAACCTCTTCTGTCGAAAGATTTTCCTTGAAATTTCTAATTAACATTACTGCTAGAGTGTAGGACATTTGAACTTATGTACACGAAAAGTACTAAATGTGGTACAATTTCGATTTAGGAGAACCAATAGCGTTGGAATCCTGATATTTGGAAGCAGAATTACTATTGCATTAGGACTGAGGTATGTAGGTAGTTTTGGAAATTCGTATCTATGTGTACTAAATGGTACAAAATTTGGTACGATATAAATTTTGTAAGAACCAATAGAGTTGGAATCCTGAAATTTGGAAATGAGATTTCTATTGTATTGTATGGCCGAGGCATGTAAGTAGTTTTGAAAATTCGTACTGTTGTGTACTAAACGGTACTAAATTTGGCAAATATTCGATTAAGTTAAATGATAGAGCTGAAATGCAGAAATTTGGAAATAAAATTACTGTTGCATTGTAGGACTGAGGTATGTAGGTAGTTTTGAAAATTCGTACTCATGTGTACTAAATGGTACTAAAGTTGGAAAATTTGTATTTTGGTTTCTTCGGGGTTGAAAAACCTCTTCTATCGAAAGGTTTTTCTTGAAATTTCTAATTAGCATTACTGCTAGAGTGTAGGATTGGAATAAGGAAATTTGTACTTCTGTACACGAAAAGTACTAAATGTGGTACAATTTCGATTTGGGAGAGCCAATAGAGATGAAATCCTGATATTTGAAAACAAGTTACTATTGCATTCCAGAACTGAGGAATGTAGGTATTCTTGAAAATTCGTACTTGTGTTTACTAAATGGTACAAATATTGGTACAATTGAAATTTTGTGAGGACCAATAGAGTTGGAATCCTGAAATTTGGAAATGAGATTACTTTTGTATTGTAGGACCCAGGAAACTCGTACTTATGTGCACTAAATGGTACTGAATTGGGAAAATTTAAATTTTCGGTAGAGTTGAAATCCTGTAACAGAAGGTATTTAATTCAAAATGTCTTTTTTTAAAAAAATGCACAAATATAATTTTGAATAATATAAAAAAAAAAAAATAAAATCTACATCTAAATATACTACAGTGTTCTTATTTTCTAAATCTAGGTGCTCTCCAATACCATTTTGCATATATGGTGTATAAAAAAAAACAATAAAAAATTCAGCTACGTCAAAGCAAGCTTTCTAATAAAGCTCTACGGTGCGGTGCCGGAAAAGTGTATTGGTGAAAATGGTATGCGACTAAGATAAATGAAATGAATTTCCATAACGTAACGCAAGAAAGAAGGAAGAACCACAAAACTAAGATTTATATTTATGCACAAAACTTCGTAACATTTCATAATGATGATAAAGTATTTCTTATTACCAAAGCGAAAGTCCTTGCGTCTATTGTTATTGTGTCCTGAACCCGTGGTGGCACCAGCATGCGACGACTTAACACGTAAAATGCGCGGTTGAGCCAAACGCTTAATGCGCTTTAATAAATCACTAACGAATGCACAATTACCAGTACCAGTATCAGCAGCACCAACACCATTACCATCACAGCTACCACTACCACTGCCACCACTAACAACAATCATTGTATCCTTGGTTGTGGTTGTAGTAGTACTAGTACTACCTCTACTACTGCTAGTTGTGGCATTTCCAGGATATGTGTTGGCGGCGTTGGTCGGATGAGCGCCATGACTAGTGCCATTAATGACGTTGATGATGGGGGAAATTAAAGATGAAGCATTTGAGCTAGCGCTGCCGCTGCCACTGCCGGCATTAGCAGCAGCAGTCGTAACATTAGAATAAGAGGATACTTTCGATTTTTCATACACCTTAAAATACTGTTTATTAAATCTATGATGATGGGCTGTTGATGTTGATGTCGGTGCCGTTATGACATTATCGATGCCATTGATGATTCTTGTGGTGGCTGCTGCTGCCGCTGTTGTAACTGGTGTCGTTAATGCCGGGGCAGTTGTACTTTGAGCTGTCGCAGCATTTGCAGCCGCACCATTATGAGGTATATTAAAACGATGGTTAATGAATTTTGTGGTTTTATGTTTGTAATTAGTAGCTGAGATTTTATGGTTATTAGTAGTTGTTGTAGTAGTTGAAGCTGAAGCACTGTATTCCACCAAACCACCATTGTATGGCAATTTAATAGCTGTGAATGGTATAACCGCAATTTTTTTTTAAATATGGAATTAATGGGAAATTGAAAATTTAAGGAGATTATCAATATTAACTACAAAAAGAGGTAAATGTAAATGGTTAGTTGTTAAAATTTATGCGATTCTCTATCCAGACAGTTTCAATTTATAGCTCGTTCTAAAGCGTAATTCTCGGAGAAGATAAAGCGTTTCACTTACTTTTAACTCTCAGCCAAGTGTAGGCCGATTTTTCACCAGCCTCATTCAGCGCCAGACATTGATACATGGCCGAATCTTCCAGCTCGAGTTTTTTGATGTGCAAAGCATTATCCTCGCCAATGGAATATCTGGTGGGAAGGGAAAGAGAAATTTAAAAAAAAATAATAATTATTTTCAATTTAATAATGAGAACGCCCAGATGATACGGCTGATCTTGAAATTTTATGTGAGGGTCACTCTTGGTCCGAGGGGTCACATAACTCTAAATTTGGAATGAAGGTCACTGATGGAGTGAATGATACATGTACTAAAGGGTATTTGTGAATTCGCACTATAAGTGTACGAATAGTACTAAAATGTACTATATTTGGTACCATTTTGTATCATGTGAACGATTAGAGCTGAAAACTTGAAATTTGGAATAGAAATAAAGGCTAAAGAGTAGAGACGATGTAAGTTTTGGAAATGCGAACTAATGTATACGAAAAGTACTAAACGGTACTAAATTTAGTACAATTTGAATTTGAAGGAACGAAATGATCTGGAAACGGCTGAAGCTGCAATCTTGAAATTTTGAATGAGGGTCTCTCTAGGTCATATAAACCTGGGTTTTTGGAAAATTAGAGCTAAAAACTTGAAATTTGGAATAGAAATAAAGGCTAAAGAGTAGAGACGATGTAAGTTTTGGAAATGTGTACTCATGTGTACGTAAAGTACTAAACGGTACTAAATTTAGTATAATTTGTATTTGAAGGAACGAAATGATCTGGAAACGGCTGAAGCTAGAATCTAGAAATTTTGGATGGGGGTCACTCTAGGTCATAAGGGGTCATATAAACCTGGGTTTTTTTTTTCATATAAACCGAAAAGTACTAAAAGGTACTAAATATCGCCACCATTGTATTTGAGGAAGCAGTAGGGCTAGCACTCATAAACTTGTAATGAGGGTCATGATAGATGTATACGGAGTATATGGTACATGTACCAAAGGATTTTGGAAATTCGCACTATAAGTGTACGAAAAGTACTAAAATGTACAACATTTAATAACATTTCGTATCAAATGAACGGTTAGACTTAAAAATTTGAAATTTGGAATGAGAATCAAGGTTGAGGAGTAGAATCGATGTAAGGAGGTAGTTCTGGAAGTCTGAACTCATGTATACGAAAAGTACTAATCGGTACTAATTTTAGTAAAATTTGAAGAAACGGAATGAGCTGGAAACGGCTAAGGCTAGAATCTTGAATTTTTTGAGTGAGATTCTCTCTTGGTCCGAGAGACTGAGTTACTAAAGGTACTAAAATGGTACCCTTTGTATTTGAGGTAGCAGTAGAGCTAGAACTCTTAAACTAGTAATGAGGGTCATGTTAGATGTATACGGAGTATATGATAGATGTACCAAAGGTTTTTTTTTTGGAAATTCGCACAATAATTGTACGAAAAGTACTAAAATGTACTACATTTGGTACTATTTCGTATCATGTGAACGGTTAGAGTTAAAAACTTCAAATTTGGAATGGGAATCAAGGTTGAGAAGTAGAGACGATGTAAGGAGGTAGTTTTGGAAGTATAAACTCATGCATACGGAAAGTACCAAACGGTACTAAATTTAGTACAATTTGAATAGTTGAAATGAGCTCGAGATGGCTGAAGCTAGAATCTTGAAATTTTTTTTGGTCCGAAAAAGACATGTAATTTTGGAAATTCGTAATAGAAAGGTACGAAAAGTACTAAAAGGTACTAAATATGGTAACATTTCTATTTGAAGAAGCAGTAGACCTAGAATTTAAACTCTTAAATTTGTAATGAGGGTCACTGATGAGTGAATGATGGAAGTACCAAAGGGTTTTTTTTTTTTGAAATTCGCACAATAATTGTAAGAAAAGTACTAAAATACTACATTTGGTACCATTTTGTATCATGTGAACGGTTAGAGTTAAAAACTTCAAATTTGGAATGGGATCAAGGTTGAGAAGTAGAGTCGATGTAAGGAAGTTTGAACTCATGCATACGGAAAGTACCAAACGGTACTAAATTTAGTACAAATTGAATTTGAAGGGATGGATGGAGTTGGAATCCTGAAATTTCTAAATGGCGGAGTGTAGGATTGGGATATGGAGGAAGTTTTCGAAATTTGTACTTATGTACAAATGAAATGTACTAAATTGTACTTAATTTCACACAATATCGATTTGGGGGAATCAATTGAGCTGGAATTCTGAAATTTTTAAATAAAATCGTTAATAAATGTAGGAAGTTTTGGAAATTCGTTCTTATGTGTACTAAATTTGGTACAATTTAAATTCTGGAGATTTCTATTACATTCTAGGAGTCAGGATTGTAGGTAGTCTTGGAAATTCGTACTATATGGTACTAAATTGTTAATATGTTACTAAATTTAAATTTTGGGAGAACCAATAGAGTTGGAATGCTAAAATTTAGAAATAAAATTAATATTGTATTCTTGGACACTCGTACTTATGTGTACTAAATGGTACTAAATCTGGTACAATATAGTTTTTTTTGGGAGAACCAATAGAGTTGGAATCTTGAAATTTGAAAATAAAATTTCTATTGGACTGTAGGACATAAGTAGTTATGAAAATTTACATTTAAGTGTACTAAATGGTACTAAATTTGGTACAATTTGGATTTGGGTCAACCAATGGAGCTGGTATCATGAAAATTGGAAAAACGATTACTGTCGGAGTGTAGGATTGAGGTATGCAGGTTGATTTGGAAATATGTACTCAACAGGTGTGGAATGCTAAAATTTGGAATTGGCATTATTGTGGGACTGTAGGATTTGGGGTTTGTAGGAAGCTTTCGAAATTCACACTAATATGTACTTAATTTTAGTACATTTGCTACAAATTGGAATGGTGATGAACCGATAGAGCTGAAATTTGGAATAATTTGGAGTAAGAGTCACTGATCGAGTGCAGGATAGATGCACCAAAGGAATTTAGGAAACGTTCCAAATGTTACATAACTCCTTAAAAGGGATTATTGATGGTATCTGTGTTTGAGATTTGGTGGAGGTTTGGATATGCATCCTATATTTGTACGAAAAGTACTAAATGGAATTAAATTTGGAAAAAGGGGTTAGGGAATAGAGCTGAAATTCCGACATTCGATGTTGAGGCCTCTGTTTATATCAGGGATTAAGATATGGAAGTGGTTTTTGGGAAATGTGTACTATTAATGTACGAAAAGTACGGGGTAGTACTAAATTTGATACTGGATAAAGGAATATAGCTGAAATTTGATAATTTGAAGAGTTGGGAAACGAGGTCCGAATAGTTTAAGGTACGCGAAAAAAACGATCCGATATTTTTTGCACATGGAAAAGGTTTTTTATATATTTTGGGGACATAGGGGACTAATGTCAATAATTTAGAAGTAATCGTTATTTCGGATAATACGGATAATCCCAACTTTTATCCTGATTAAATGTGAGGGATTATACATATGGTTTCCCAATATTTAAAATAATTTGAATTTTCCGAATAGTTTAAGGTACGCGAAGAAAACGATCCGAAATTTTTTGCACATGGAAAAGGTTTCTTATATATTTTGGGGACATATGGGACTAATGTTGATAATTTAGAAGTAATCGTTATTTCGGATAATACGTATGACCCCAAATTTTATCTTCATTAAATGTGAGGGGAGGGATTATGCATATGGCTTCCCAATATTTAAAAAAAAATAAATTTTTTACTCACTTTTCATTGGCCAAATCAATTGGCTCCGCATTGCGATACCATGTCACCGTTGGCTGTGGATCGCCCACAACATCACATGGCAGTGTGACCAATACACCCAATTCCCCGAATGTCTCCTGACGCATTGGTGTAAAAAACGACGGTGGTTCGAGTATTTCGATTCTGGCCTTCGCCACCAATGTCTTGAAACCGCCACTGCGTAAACGCACCTGACACGAATATTCACCCGAGTGCGTCAAATTCACCGACAACAGGGCCAACGAACGATTCCACGGATCGTTGAGGGTATGCGCTATTTCGGCATTCTCAATGGCTATGCCATCCTTGAACCACAACGTTTCCAATTCATGCAACGGCCGGGCATTTGCAATGCACTGCAGTTCGGCAACTTGTTCGCCACGTTTCAATTTCATATCCTGCGGATGTACAATGATTTCCGGTGGCACTTCAATGTATGGATCGCCGCTCACATTGACGTGTATGAAACTGCTGTTCTCCTCCTTGCCCAGTTGGGTGTTGATGGCACGTGCTCGATATGCCTGACGATCCGCCTCGTCGGTGTTGAGGATAATCAATTGATTGGATTTGGTGAATGCGTATTTGATGTCATAATTGAGCTGGCCATCGACAGTTTGCCATATCACCGAGGGCGTAGGAACTGAATCGATGTCGGGCAAATCCAATATGGCCGGATGGCCTGATATGACATTTAAACGGCCCTCGGTTACATTGTTGAATGTGCCCATGTCTGCAGAGAAACAAAAGGGAACAAATTAAAGAATGACAACAAAGCAGCAACAGCAACAATAACAATTAAGCATGAATGGCAGCAAAAGTAGAAAACAGAAAAAATAATGAATTCATTTATAAACACAAAAATTAACAAATTATGAACATTTATTTGTTATTTCCATGTCAGTGAATGAACGACAGCCATGAATGAGTTGCATGATTTCTAGTGGCTCCGGACAGCAGCGGGTGTCCATTTATTATCCCTTTGTCCACTTGAGCTGCCACCATTTGTTTGCAAATGACTGACTTGTTGGCTGCATGGCTGGCTGGGCAAACTATGGTTGATTTTATGTCGCTTTTATTGTAACTTCTTCTTCTTCTTCTCTCTGCGGCTTCTACTTCTTCTTCGTCATCAACTACTTCTTTGTTAAGTCATTCATGCCCGGAAAGAGTCAAAGATTAAACCCATCATTCAGACATTGAGTCCAACAATTCATTGGACGTGCTGTGTTTGCACAAAAATTTTAGCATTGCGAATGCTCACGCAATGTCGGTGAACGCAATGGGCACACAAATGATGTCGGACACGCACACACGCATATATATGCATGTAGTCGGTACGCACTAGCGGGCAACCTAAATTTGGTACACTGTGAGAAATTTTTAAAGGGGAATAGGAACAACTTTTATCGTGTCTGACGATAGTGGATAAGCCGTCAGCCCGGCTGTCTTCACAGTTCGTTTGTCTGAACAAAGGACGAGCCCTGATGAGAATTGTGAAATCGGATCTGATTCTGATATAATCTTAATATACATAAATACATTAATGAAAGAGTAAAGTAATTTACTGACTGACTGTCTAAATTTCTAAATTTTGTCTAAATTTTGACTGAGGGTCACTCTTGGTCCGAAGAGGTCATATGAGGCTGGATTTTTGATTTGAGGAAGTAGAAGTCTTAAATTTGCAATGAGAGTCACTGATGCAGTGTGTGATATAGGGTTAGCAAAGGGTTTTTGATAATTCGCACTATAAATGTACGAAAAGTACTAAAATGTACTACAATTTGGAATGGTAATCAATGTTAAGAAGTAGATTCGATGTAAAGATGACGTCTTGGAAATGTGTACTCATGTATACGAAAAGTACTAAACGGTACTAAATTTAGTACAGTTTGACTTTAGAGGAACGGATGGAGCTGAAATGCTGAAATTTTAAATTAACATTTCTGGCGGATTGTAGGACTGGGATATGGACGATATTTTCCAAATTTGTACTTAGGTGCACGAAAAGTGCTAAATGGTACTAAATTTGGTACAATTTCGATTTGGGTGAACGGATAATGATGGAATGCTGAACTTTGGAAATAAAATTACTATTGCCTTGTAGGATTGGGGTATGTTGGGAGTTTTGGAAATTCGTACTTATGTGTACTGAATGGTACTAAATTTGGTGCAATTTAAATTTTGGGAGAACCAATGGAGTGGAAATCTGGAAATTTGGAAATAAGTTTTCTATTGGACTGCATAATATAGGTAGTTATGAAAATCTGTACTTAAGCGAACTAAATGGTACTAAATTTTATACAATTTGGATTTTGGTTAACCAATAGATCTGATATCCTGAAAATTGGAATTAAGATTAATGTTGGAGTGTAGACTTCGGTTATATTGGAAGTTTTGGAAATTCGTACTTATCTGTGCTATATGGTACTATATTTGATAAAATTTGTAGTTAGGCAAACTGATAAGGATGGAATGCTAAACTTTGGAATTGGGATTATTGTGGTAGTGTAGAATTGGGGTATGTAGGAAGCTTTGGATATTCGTACTTATCTGTATCACATGGTATAAAATTTGGTACAATTTCAATTCGGGTGCACCGATGAACCTAGAATGCTGAACTTTGGAAATAAGAGTACTATTGCCTTGTAGGATTGGGGTATGTAGGGAGTTTTGGGAATTCGAGCTTATTTAGCCCCGGTTGAGATGGTATCGGAAATTTGGAAATATGATTTCTATTGGATTGTGTGATGCATGTAGTTATAAAAAATAGTACTTAGGTGTACTAAAATGTACTAAATTTTGTATCATTTGGATCTGGCTAAACCAATATAGCTGGAATCCTGAAATTTGGAATTAAGATTACTATTGGATTGTAGTTTTGTGATATGGAGGTACCTATATGCAGGAAAGGTACTGAATGGTACTAAATTTGGTACTGCTTAAACAGATGCTGTTAGAAATCGGAAATTTGGCATTAGGATAACTCTTAGTGTGAAGGGCTGAGATTTGGAGGTGATTTTGAAAATACGTACTAAAAAGTACTAAACGGTACTAAATTTGGTTTTTTGGTTGGATGTTTAAAATTTGGCATTAGGATCACCTAAAGTCTCTGTTGTTTCTGGGAATGAGATATGGAGGTGGTTTTGGAAATGTGTAGTATAATTCTTCGGAAGGTACTAAATGGTACTGAATTACGTATTAAGTGAGGGGACAGGGCTGAAGTCCTCAAATTTGATATTGAGCTCTCAGTTGGTATCTGACGTTGAGATATGGAGATTGTTGTGAAAATGAGTACTAAAATGTAAAAGGTAAATGTTTTGAAAATACGTACTAAAAAGTGCTAAATGGTACTAAATTTGGTTTTTGGGCCGGAAGTCTAATATTTGGCATTAGGATCCCTTGAGGTCTCTGTTAGTGTTTGGGAACGAGATATGGAGCTGGTTTTGGAAATGTGTACTATAATTCTACAAAAGGTACTAAATGGTACTGATTTACGTATTAAGTGAGGGGACAGGAATGAAATCCTCAAATGTGATATTGAGCTCTCAGTTGGTATCTAAGGTTGAGATATGGAGATTGCTTTTAAAATGAGTACTAAAATGTACTTAATTTGATATTACCTTCGCGGTTCATGAGTAGCCGGGACATATGGAGTTGGTTTCGGAAATGTGTACTATAATTGTACGAAACGTACTGAATTGTACTATATTTGCCAAAGACAGAGCTTAAATCCCCAAACTTAATATTGTGGCTGACATCTGGAGGTGGTTTTGCAAATAGTTCTAAAGTTATACGAAAAGTACAAAAACGTACTAAATTTGTTATTGAGACAAGGAATAAAGCTGAAATTCTTAAATTTGATATTGAGGTCACTGTTGGTTTTAGGGTTTCGATATGGAGAAGTTGGATAGAAAAAAGGATGTGGAATGGTTCTAAAAATATTCTCCTCGGTAAACTTCAAAATATAAGATCTTGAAGACTTTTTGGTGAAAAAAGTGAACATGTTCTTATTATTCTTTTCCAAAAAGGAACAACATAAACAATAAGATATAAAAACTTGAAAATCTGAAGTTTTGATTTAAAATGTTTGTCAAAATGAACAAATCGTGCACGTAGAGTACCAAAAAGGCCTAAAGAGAACTGTTGGAGCGATTCTAAAATTAAAAGTTGGACTTTTCCCTGACAAGGTAGCGGGTACTTGCTAGTTGCCCGGCCCCCTCCCAAAAGGTTAAATTTTAGATATTTTTAGGGAATTTTGCTTAAAACTCAAATTTTTTGTGTGTTGGTCCCCTCCCGGCGAAATGGTTACAAAAGGCATTTTTTTTGGGAGATACAAGTAGGTGTATGCAATATTGTTAGTTTTAGTACTCGATTTAAGTTTCGAATATCGATTCCGAATTTCGATGATTTGTACTAATCCTTAAAATTAAAAGTTGGTTCTGCAGTAATATTCGTACGAGTTAGGAAGCGTCTGTGAATTAATATTTTAAATTAAGGTTAGAGTACCTCAAAATTCTCTGAATTTCGAACTTTACTGCCTAATTATTAGCCCAGTGATAGTACGACATTTTGGTCTCCCAGAGAAATGCCAACTTTACACTAAATATCTCAGACCCTAAACGTTGGCATTCCAAACCTCCCCTTATTTTTCACAGTGTATCTGACTTGACCACTTATTCTCGCAAACAATTCGAGTTTATACGCACAAAAAGTAATACAAGAGAATAGTACCAATTAATTTAACTAACTGCCACTTAATTGTTACTCGTTGAAGTCACTGAGTCACTGTTATCTCCATCTTCATCGTCATCACCATCGCCGTTTCAAGACGTCGCTGAAGTACAGGGCAATATTTTGTGATGCGACAACATTCATTCGTACAAGACCTAGCGACCTCATTTGTTCGGCGAATGAGGACATATGACATTTAATTAGTTCTTAGGCGATACGATAAAGGCGATTATTCGAGAGATACGAGGGAAGGAGGAGGAATTACCAAAATAGGTTTAAAGGCCCCGTATTTTCATTGGAACTTATATTGAACACATGATTGTATAGAAGATAGACTTGACCACCAATTTGATAAAAAAATTGAAAATTCCTTGAAGAAAAAAAAATAATAATCTAGGATTCAGTGTGCGAGAAGATTCGTCATGCTAAGATGCCTTAATTCCCTTTAATATGTGTGGGTATTAGTTTTTCATTCCGCATCATGGTGTTGTCTGATGCTACTCTTGTCTGTCTCTACTCTGACATAAATTCTTGCAATTGCTATGGAATTTTGTAGCTTAAGCAAGAAAAAAGCGGCGCACGTAAAGCATAGCAGAGTGGGAAAGTGGGGGTGGTAGACGGCTCATGAGAGCGTGAGGTCTTAGTACGTTACTGTGTCTTGGTCTTACAAGAGAGCGATGTTTAAATGCTTTAATTAAGTGCCATTTAACGACTGCATCAATTTGATTAATAAACTCAAGTTCTGGTGGTCAAGAGAAACAGAACAACTGAGAAAAAAGAAATTGGATGCTGAATTCCAGGGGAGGGGGGCCAAAGGGGGACTAATTTGTATTTTTCGAAATTGGTTATTTTAAGACATCAATAACAACTCCACCAGGACTTAAGTGTGTCCAATTAAATGAAACTCTAATTAAACATATTATCCCTAATTTTCAGAGTTATGGCATAAATTGATATTCATTGGGGAAACGACAAAAAAAGAGTGGAAATGGTAAAAAGAGAAGCGAGGGAGTAGAGTGCTAGGGAGCTATACGTACAATGAAATATTCACCGAATTAGAGTCTGTGTCCGGTCCTGATCAATGTTGAAGGAAAATTATAAAGCCGTACATGTTTTGAGACTCCCTATAATTCAGAAATTTGTCTATCCTTAACTTCAATGTTACCAGCAAGTGCGTGCTACTTCCTTAGAAAGCACTTTATTTAGATTCATTCCAACAGTTCGTGTTAGCCCTTTAAAGTACTCAAAATGCACAATTTGTTAGTTTTAATTTTTGTTTTTAATTTAATTCTTTTTAATCCAAATTTCATACATCGTGCTTAAAAGTCAGATTTTCAAAGTTTTAAATTTTATTCAGGTTTTTTTCTTTTTCGGAAAGAAAAATAGGAAATTATTAATCTTTTCCACCAAAAAAGACTTCCAAATCTTTCATTTTGAAGCTTACCGAAGAGGATATTAGTAGGACAATAGAACAACATACAATTTTTCTGTTCAAAACTATTTCAACGTCTCCATATGTAAACCTTAAAAACGAGGAGTGACCTCAATATTTAATTTCAGAATATCCACCCCTTCACCTGAAAACTAATTTAGTAAACTTTAGTACGCATATCCAAAACAATCTTCATCAAATAGCATCAAATTTTAGAATATGTTTGGATTTGGTCACCTTTGACACGAATTATGGACTTCAAACGGCCAATGAAACCATCACACGCTGCTCGAATGTTGCTCTGCGGAATTTTGCGCCCGCTTGCTTGAGGTGATCGACACCTTTGTATTTTTTAGTGCCAACCTTATTTACAAAATACTCCAGACACAATAGTCCAACGGATTGGTATCCGGAGTTTTTGGTGGCCATTGTGCGATGAAAATGAAGCGAGGAACCTCATTAAGTAACCATTCTTGGGTGGCGCGTGCTGAGTCCAAGGTCTGTGGCCAAAATTGTTGCGTGCCCAAGGCTTTAATACACCCTTCAGAATATTTTCGCGACAATATTCGGCATTTATTCTGATGCCACGGTCGATTAATACGAGCGAAGAGCGACCATCGGCTGTTATGGTGGCCCACACCATCACCATGGCCGGCGCTTGAGTTCTGGTGGCAAACCGAAGGTGCACATTTTCAGCTGACCTCTTTGGCAAGTAAACATGATCATTTTGTTTGTTTACAAACTACTGGATAACGAATGTTTGTTTTTTTTTTTCATCTGAGAAAACCAAATTCGGCAGTTCACCACTTTCGGCCCAGCGAAGCAACTCTTTAGCTCTTGAGTCTATTTTCTTTCTGTTGCGATGTAAGTTCTTGCATTTTTTTTTAAATTTTAATGGCTTTACTCGAGCTCATTTTTCAATATTTGCCGAATGGAATATTGCGATATGTTCAGCTCACGAGTCATTATTCGGTCACTGCGGCGCTTGTTTCGATCAAGTCGCTTCTTTACTTTTCGAACCATTTCTGCTGATGTTGCTGTTTCCTTCTTCGATCCACTTCCTTGACGTCGGGCTACGCTACCAGTATCACGGTAACGAGCGATGGTACGAGACACAAAAGATTTATTCACATTTAAATGCTGGAGTGCTCTTACGATAGCCACTTGATATCTATCACGAATAACGTTTTTTTTCTGGAAAATTCTAATATAATGAGCTGTCACAGGATTAATTTTAACAACTTCGGACAAGTGGCTTAGACACTGAATGACAGCAGTATAAAGTTGGATGCAGTTTTTTCATCTCAACTACCTCCATATCGCATTCCTATGTTTCGACAGCAATCTTATTTTCAATTTTAGGATTCCAGCCCTATCGGTTCACCCAAATCCAATTTGTACCAAATTTTGTACCATTTAGGTCACATAAGTACGAATTTCCTACATAACCGAATTCTATACTCCAGCTGTTATATTAATACCAAATTTCAGGATTCCAGCTCTGTTGGTTTATCCATGTCCAAATTGTAACAAATTTAGTACGTTTTTGTACACATACCTCCATACCATAACTCTACAGTCCAACAGTAATTTTAGTTCCAAATTTCAGGATACCAGCAAATTTCCATATGTACTCACATGGCCCAATCCAATAGAAATCATATTTTACAAATTTCAGGATTGCAATTCAACTGTTCTCCCAAAATTTAAATTGTACCAAATTTAGTACACATAAGTACGAGATTCCAAAACTATCTACATACCACAGTCTTACAATGCTATGGTAAATTCATATCCAAATTTCACCATACCAGCTCTATCGATTCAATCAAATCGAAATTGTACCAAATTTAGTACCAGTTAGTACTTTTCGTGCACATATGTACAAATTTCGAAAACTGCACACCCAAATCCAACTCTCCGCCAATATTTTCAAATTTCAGGTTTCCAGCTTCATCCGTTCCTCCAAATTCGAATTGTACCAAATCAAGTACCGTTTAGTACTTTTACATACATATATATAAGAGTACATATTTCCAAAACTATATCCTAACACCGACCCTGCTCCTCAACCCTGATTTCCACTCTAAATTTAATGTTTTTTATCTCTAACCGTTCACATGAAATGAAATGGTACCAAATGTGGTACATTTTAGTGCTTTTCGTACACCGATAGAGCTGATTCCTAAGGACCCTTTGGTGAATCCATCATACAGTCCATCAGCCTTGATTTCTATTCTAAATTACATGCTTTGATCCCTAACCGTTCACATGATACGAAATGGTATCAATTATAGTACATTTTAGTACTTTTTTTTTTAGAACGAATTTCCTAAGACCCTTTGGTACATCCATCATACACTTCATGAGTGACCCTCGTTCCAAATTTAAAATTTCTATCTCTACTGGTTCGTCAAATATCAGGGGTACCATACTAAGTACCCTATAGTACTTTATGTAACGTTCTAGTACGAATTTCCAAAAACACAGCCTTATCTGACACCTTCGGACCAAGAGTGACCATTACCCATGTTTCAAAATTCTAGCTTTAGCCGTTTCGTCGGGACTTTGATGAATTGTTAATTCAGCCAGTCAATTATTTTACTCTTTCATCGAATACAAAGGTACCATACTTATTATCTTTTAATACTTTTCGTGCCGTTTTAGTACGAATTTCCAAAAACCCTCTGACATCTTCGGACCTAGAGTGCCTACCACCCATATTGCAAAATTCTGGCATCGCTGTATCCTCCAGGCTTTAATGAAGTCAGTCAGTACTTTACTCTTTTATTAATGTAGGCTGTACATGTTCCGACTACTAAAAACGGTTAAGTCTTTTCCACATTTTAATCCATGGTAGCATCTGTGCGGATTTAAAAAAAATAGGACAAAATATTTTAATATTCATTTTTTATAAAAAAAAAACAAAAATGGACAAGTACTCTACAATTCTCGAAAAAAAAAACCAACAATCAGGAGCGGTGCTTTTTTGCAGATATTTTCCATATGACGTGAAAATTATAAACAGAACTTTCCAGTTTAACAAAAAAACCAAACAACGAAAAAAGTAAATTTATTCACTTTCCCCATTGTCGTCGTCATCATCGTTTTCATATTTATGTGTCCATTTGAATTTTTGGTTATGAATATTTTTCTTCAATTTCGAAGCACAAAAACCAGTTATTTAAAAAAAATGAACGAACGACAAAAAAACTCCGATTTAATTCGTTGGAATTTATACTCACATGCGACGACAACGTCAACCGTTTCACTAAATATGGAGCCAGCTTCGTTTTTTGCAATACACTTATAGCTGCCAGCATCCTCACGCTGGGTATTCAGGATACGCATATATTGGCTGGGTGAAAAATCACCGACTGGTATGCCATTTTTTATCCAACGATATGTGGGCTGGGGATAACCTAGGGAAGAGAGAGAGGGAGAAAACAAAAAAATATTATTTAAAATATTTAACACAAAAAGACTATATGGGGAATTAAGTGCTAAAAGGCTATTGAAGGATTGAAAACAAAAATCCAAATGGAAGAAAAATAATTGAATAAAAACTTTAAATATTTTCCAATGGAAACCCCTTCAACAGAAAGCTACGATGCCTGTACATGTTCGTATGGCTGTAGACATTTAATAACTGAAATTGATTCGTTTTACAATTGTTCGATATTACTGCAGGATACAACCATTACTGGGTATTTATATTCACACAGGATATTTTCTTCTTTGGATCTATCTTCCATAGAATCAATTAAATGCAACCCACATTGAAAGTTATTCCAGGATACAAGTGATAGTCCCAAGGATTGGGCCATTTAAATAGAAAACACACACAAACACATCTATGACATCTTAATACAAAAAAAGGACATCAGGAAAACATGCATACAATAACCACAAAACAAATGTCCCAGGAGATAGGGACATAGTTAAGGACATTTGAATCAGACACTCATGCAAATATGCCTCACACTTTTGCAAACTCTGTGCCAAATCATCATTGGCAGTAATGCCGGAAGAACCTTGTTGCTTCGCATACAATAAGGATGTCTTGTTTTTTCATCCTGCATTCTCCCTATCATTGATAACAACAATAACAACAGAACCATTGAAAACAGGCAGACCAGATATGAAAAGTTCTCGCCTGTCCGTCCCCATCTCCATTTGTGGAGTACATGCTGTTTCCTTTATAAGAAAAATACTATTAGAAAACAGAGGAAGAGGAGGAAAAAATGTGACAACGTATGCAGAATAGTTTGTCTATGGTTTGATATGATACATACATACATGAATGAACATGCATGAAAAAAAAGAAGAAGAAAGTGGGACAGGCAAATATCTGCAGCCCAGGAAACTTTTTGGCGGCTATCGGACTAACTTTTGTTGTGAGAGAGTGGTGGCCTCAGAGGCCAGTCGCTCTACAACAGTAGTGTTCACAAGGGCCAGCTACTTTACACTAGTAGTGGCCCGGAAGCCTACTCTAAACAGTAGTGTTCAACTGAGGGCTAGCCACTCTATAATAGTAATCCTATAGCAGTGGCCTAAGAGACCAGCTATCCTATAGCAGTGATCTGAGATGCCAGCTATTCTATAGTAGTGGCCTCGGATGCCAGATATTCTATAGCAGTGGCCTCAGAAGCCAGCTAATCTATAGCAGTGGCTTCAGAGGCCAGCTGATCTATAGCAGTGGTCTCATAGGCTAGCTATTTTATAGCAGTGGCCTCAGAGGCGAGCTTTTCTATAGCAGTGGCCTCTGAGGCCAGATATTCTATAATAGTGGCCTCAGAGTCCAGATATTCCATAGAAGTGGTCTCAGAGGCCAGCTACTCTATAGCAGGTGGCCTCAGAGGCCAGCTACTCTATAGCAGGTGGCCTCAGAGGCCAGCTACTCTATAGCAGATGGCTTCAGAGGCCAGCTACTCTATAGCAGATGGCTTCAGAGGCCAGCTACTCTATAGCAGATGGCTTCAGAGGCCAGCTACTCTATAGCAGATGGCTTCAGAGGCCAGCTACTCTAAAGCAGGTCGCCTCAGAGGCCAGGTACTCTATAGCATGTGGCTTCAGAGGCCGACTAATCTATAGCAGGTGGCCTCAGTGGCCAGCTATTTTAGAGCAGTGACCTCAGAGACCAGCTACTCTATAGCAGTGACCACAGAGGTCAGCTACTGTATAACAATGGCCTCAGAGACCAGCTACTGTATAGCAATGGCCTAAGGGACCAGCTACTGTATAACAATGACTTCAGACACCAGCTACTGTATAGCAATGGCCTCAGGGACCAGCTACTCTAAAATAGTGGCTACAGAGACCAGCTACTCTAAAGTAGAGGCTTCACTCTTTCTATACTCATAGCAGGGGTCTTGTAGGTCAGTTACTTTACAGTATTCGAGCCGCGATTGCCAATGGTTCTACAGTAGTGGTCACCGAAGGTCATCTACTCTAAAGTCCTGGCCTGCTACGTTAAAGTCGTTGGCATCGAGGCTCTAAAGATGTGGCCCCCGAGGTCCACAGTATTTTTCAAAATAGAAAATGGAACTAGTTTTCCAAACAAAAAGGCAAATATTTTTGAAGGGACAAAAACAATAGAATTCGGGGACCATCCCATAGGACTTTTTTCTATAAAAAAATGTTATTTTATTCCATATTTTTAATGTTTCCGACCGCAGGAGACAAATTTTCTCCAAAGAAAAAAAATCAAATCATTTTTCCTGGAGAAAAAAATTTATCTGTCCTCAGGGGAAAAAATCATCGGTCCCCCAGGGACATTTTTTTTCCATAGAAAAAAATCATCGGTCCCCCAGGGGCAATTTTTTTCTGTAGAAAAAAATCATCGGTTCCCCAGGGGCAATTTTTTTCTATAGAAAAAAATCATCGGTCCCCCAGGGGCAATTTTTTTCTATAGAAAAAAATCATCGGTCCCCCAGGGGCAATTTTTTTCTATAGAAAAAAATCATCGGTCCCCCAGGACAATTTTTTTTCAATAGAAAAAAATTCATCTGTTCCCAGGACAATTTTTTTCAATAGAAAAAAATTCATCTGTCCCCAGGACAATTTTTTTCAATAGAAAAAAAATTCATCTATCCCCCAGGACAAATTTTTTCTATAGAAAAAAATGTATCGGTCCCCAGGGATAATTTTGTTTTCATAAAAAATCGTCTGTCCCCCAAAGAAAATTTTTTTTGAAAATCTGACGACAGGGACAATTTTGTCCCTTCGGAAAAAATTTTCCAAATTCATCACTGGGTCTTGCCATTTATATCCATCCATACATCCCATATAATTCATTGTGTATATGCAATGCGGATATTATTTCAGAGTATCTGTATCACTTCATCTGTACCACAAAATCAGAATTACCCATACTGAATGGAGAAAAAAGAAACGAAGAGAAAAATCAAAAAAAAAAAAAAAACTCACAGAGAGGGGGTACTATTGGAAAATAACTACCCGTATTTATGTAAAACGGATATTCAACACACAACGAATGAAGACAGATGTGACAAAAAATAATATCCTTTTTATTAAGGCATGCCTAACGAATAGGCAGAGACATAAGGACATGCTACAATGGTCAGTTAGATCGTTAAAATAACAAAACTCGCCCTCCTTCCTCCTTTGGGTTGTCCCACCCCGTAGGACATGTCTGTTGTAAACTTCATTTTTAATTCCGGTTATAAAGTTCAAATGAGTTTATCTGATATTCTATTGAAATTTAGTTTCTGGTTAGTTGGAGACATAAGGAAATGAGAAATGAAAAATGAAACTGAAAAAGTTCCACATTTGTTGGCATGGCTGTGTGGGAGAAAAACACACGCACACAAACACTCACAAAGGGAATGGATGCTTGGGATGAAAGTTCATTTGCTTTTTGTTGGGGTTCGGTTTTGATGATAACGATGGGGATGTGTTTTCAATTTTAATAAGATGGAATTTTGATTGACTCTTTATCAGTTACTAAAATAGGCAATGGGAGGTCAATAGTTAAATCTAAGCTAAGCTTAATTTTGATTTGGCCAACGGAAATTTGTTTTTCAATATCATTTGGCTCTTAGTAGAAATAAATTCCTTCGAATCTTCTATATATGAAGGGCTCACAGCTATACCGAACTAAGTCATAAAAACATAATTCCAAGATATTTAGAGGTAAAGTAAATGTACTGCAATTAATTTCTGGAAGCAATATTTTAGTCTACCAAAAGAAAATGTAAAAGTCTATATTCAAAATTAACTAATGATATAAAGTTAAAAGAAAAATAATTTAAATATATTACTAAAAAAATATTCAAAAACAAAAAACCTGCTTTGGTTCGTTATTGCTCTGAATAAAATTTGAAGGTTTTACAGCTAAAGCGAACCAAGTCAAAAAAATAAATAAATTGTTCATTTTATGACTAAATATAGTTGATGTTCCGCTTGTAATAAGAAACTGATGTTGATAGCTTTGGAAAAGGCAATGCTTTTTGAATGTCGAAAGTACAGAAATAGTGCTCATCAGATGGCACTTCTGTATTCAGTGAGTCTCGAGCTAGCTGTGCTGCTTTTAAGTGAAGTTCCTTTTGCCAAATTAAATTTGTATTTTCGTCTTCATAGAATTTTATTTTCATGTTAAGTTCATCACATATTCGAAAGTTATCCTTATCCGGTCAGTGCTCCAGTGGCCCATTCCAATAAGTACCTCCCCCACAAAGGGTAAAAATTTTGAATAATTATAACTCTTATAAAATGTGATGAAATTTTCCGATTGTGTTCAAATTACACAGATCAGAATATTTTTATTAACCCACGCTCTGCTGTGAATATGGAATATATCGCTCCACTACCTCTGGTATCATCCCCACAAAGGGTCAACATTTTGAATATCCATGAAGCTCATAAGACGCGATATTATTCGATTTCATTCAGATTGGGTACATTTCAAAATTTCCTTCAACACAAGATCTGTTATAAAGATAGTAGAGATCGCACCATTTCTTCTGGTACCTTCCCACACAGGGTTCAAGATTTTGAAAAACAAAACAGAAAGAAAACGAAATAATCATCCTTCTCCCTTTAGATTTCACACATACAAACATTTTCGCTAACACAATATTTGTTGTGAAGATGGAATATATCTGCGAACCCCTTCCGGTACATCACCCACAAGGGGTCACAATTTTCAATGCCTTTATCTGTCATAACTTGCGAAACAAGTCGATGATTCTTTACAACTTGCTATATCTAAATATTTCTCTCAACCAGAAACATGAGATGAATATGGAATAATGTACGATTTTCTTGTCATTGTGCCCATACTAATATTTAATGTGTATTAGGAAAAAGTATATGAAATAAAAAAACAGTAAGTTCGGTCGGGCCGAGCTTTGAATACCCTCTACCATTTGGAAAGGATTTGGATATTAAAGAATACTTT